TATTTTTTATCAGATGAGTTCTAGAAAATTTTGTAGAAATACTATGTATTAGTCATTTTCTCATCACAGGGACAAAATACTCATCTCCCTTAGTGCAAAGGAGAGGTTTATTTTGGTTCATAAATTCATAGGGTTCAGTCCATGGTTGGCTTTTTCCAAGGGAAAACCTAGGATGGGACACAGAAAACTGTTTAACCTTTGGAAGCCAAAAAGCATTCTGAGAAAGAAGGAGCCTTAGGCAAGAATACACCCTTCAGTGTCTCAGTGACACACTTCTAACAACACAATCCTGAGTGCATGAGTATGCTACCAACATGATCTGGTCACTTTCTGAAAGCTTCACCTCTGAACAACGAGACTCATGGGAGCAATTTACATACCATTTATAAAAACACTTATAAGGAACTGACAGAGAATGACTAGAAGAAACTGTGTTGTGTTCCGTATGTGATAAATCATTGAGATATTTATATTTGTTGTTGCATGATTACTTAGTTGGCACTACTTCTACATGAGTTGTCCATCAACACTATCTGATCAATGTGATATGCCTATGAATCCTTCTGGGCTGGTGAAAATGCAAAATGTCCTATATGTGCTTTAAAATAAAAACCTAAATTCCTCCTCTGCTTTCAGATCTGTATTTGAACCCCCCAGCTCTATCACACTGATATTCTAAGTATGTCCACACTGCCTATACTGGTCTATCTTCAGTAAAAGAAAGAAAAGACATCTAATAATCTGTGAGGAAGTAGTTTTGCTTCTAGCAAGGAATCTAAAATGATATCAGAACTGGAATTAAGCTCTGTTAGCATCTTAGCTGGATACCCAGTTTTTCTCCACTCACAGAGACCATCCTCATACCCTGACGCCCCTCATAAAGTAATCGAGTCAACAAAGGTTTTCCATATGTTTCCTTTTTCTTAAAATGTCAAGCCACCTTTCCATGAATGTGGACAATGTAAACCAAATAGTCCTGAAGGAATGTGTCCTTATGAAAAAAATATGTAACATTTTATCTCAGAAATGTCCATAAAACTAAAGTTTCAATTATAAGTGGCATAATTTTTTATCTTCATTCAATAGATTTAACTAAGCTATTCTATCAAAATGAGTTTTTAAGAGCCTGCAAAACACTGATTAGGTCCAAATTTTTTCAGATACTCTTTTAACTGCAACAAACTTAGCATTTAATAAGAGTCACCTATTTCTTAAAGGACCCTATGAGTGTTTTTGGTTCATTTTAAGCCACATCATTCACATTTACAATTTTCTATTCAGAGCTGGAATCTTTTCAGAAGTCTGAATATACAGTTCAACTGATTATTCTGCAAAGTGTGCATGTGGGAAGAAATGTTTGCTTACTAGATCCTTCTTCTGTAATTCAGATACTTATATGATCATTTCCAAAGCAAATTTCCCAAAAATCAAATAAATTGCCAAACTAGAAATGTAATCAAGTCTCCAAGAATGAGTTCCAATTCTCTGCCAAAACAGACCTCAAACTCTTAATCCCTTGTCCAAAAAAATTGGACCAAGTATTGACGTTTTCCACCAAGTAAGCCACATAGCCACAAATGTTTCTCATTTACTCCACCCCTGGGACATGCAGCTGAAATAAAAAATTTCCTGAATACACCAAATTTCAGATGCAATTTGGAATGCAAGTGATTCATAATGTAATGCAGGAAACATTATGGTCTTCTCTTACCCATACGGTGCTTCTGGAATGCAAGCCTCAGGAGATCATCCCAATCAATTAGAAGGCTGACACAGCTTTCAGCCATCTGACCCAACTACTACGCTCTTTGCCCCTCGCTTAGATGTCATTCTGAACCCTCAGCAACTGGCTACTCCTGCTACTGTTGAAATAAAAAGGATTTTTCCTCAAGGGAGCCAACAAAAATCCCTGTTGTGTTCTGCAACACAAAACATGGTAACAATGCACTCAATCCCCCATTTAACAAAGAACAAAACAAGAGTAAACTAAAGTAAAGCCATTTTTATTGTTTCTGTACCAAGAGACTTACACTGGCCACTGAACAGATTTAGAGCCTAATTAGATCCCAGCATAAATTTCACAGAGCCACTTGTCCTATTCTAGTCTCATCTTTACCTTGCTCCCCTTGTTAAGTCATTAATAATGTCTCAAAGTGCCAAGACTGCAACTGTCCTCTGCTGTGAATCTATATCCTTTTTTAAGGAAAGAAACATAGTGGACATAAAAGAAAACAAGTACTGCAAATGCACTGAAGAAGTATCAAAATTTTGTAAGTCTTAGGAAACATGATTACTAAAAACAAAACAACAGAACAGAAAAATAAATTAAAATCCATAATTGTCTAAAATATGATGAAATATTGGGCACAGTACAATAGCAAATTTGGGTAGTAAGAGATTAAGATAAACGTGTGTCAAAGAACTTTTCCACTAATTAAAGGATCATGATAGGCACAATGCACAGGTCAGGAACAGGCTTAAATGAAGATTATTTAATCCACTTTGAGGCAAAACTCAAAGCTGAGCACATATTACCTTGGAAGTTGTAGAGAAAGAAAGCTACTGACTCTATAGACATGACAGTCAATAGGAACAAAGTTCTCGAGTAAAAAAAAAAAGGGGGGGGGATAAAGGCTTAAAACAATTATTCAAGCATAAGGTGAAAAGAAACTAGTTTAGCATTGTCTACAAACACAATAGAGAGATTTCCAAAATAATTAACTTATAGTGAATTTCATGTTCAATATAATGCTGATAATATGACATTTGCAGAGAAATAGGCTAAGTCAGGGCTGGCTGAACAGCTCAGAGGATTGAAGTGTCTTCAAGCAGGCACAGGGGCCAGGGATTCGATCCCCGGGCCTGCCATGACATCCCCACCCCCAAGGTGTGCTGAGATGGCAATGGAGACTGGATGTGGTGATGCATGCCTGTAATCCCAGCTCTTGGGAAGCTGTAAACAGGTGGATCACTACGAATCTGATCTAGTAGTGAGACCCTGAACACTCTGTAGACCATATATATATATATATATATATATATATATATATATGCTAAGTCTACATATGAAAATGATGACATAAGATCCCATGAGATGATCTGCCTCAGGAAGTTATGAAAAAATAAAAATAAGGGCCGTCCAGATAGCTCTGTGGACTAAAATGCCTGTTTAGGCAGGCACAGGGACTGGGGCACACTGAGGCAGCGACTGAGACTGGGCATGGTGACACACACCTGTAATCCTAGAGCTTGGCAAGCTGAAAACAGGAGGATCAGTAGGAGTCTGATCTGTGTAGTGAGACCCTGGAACCTTGTACTAAATATATAAAAGAAGAAAAAATACAAAATTCTTGTAAAAAGACCAAATTAATACCTATTCAAATAAAAAATAAATCAGTTTAAACTTGTGATGGGATCTGTATTACATCACAAATAATCTGAAAGGTAGCTTCAATACCTCTGATTATCAAAAATCCTATTTTCCATCCCAATTCAGCCACTGGGTAAAACTTAACACATATGTAAAGAGCATAGTCACATCGACTGTCTAATATTTAGCCTGAAAGAAAATGGTTGGACAAAAAGATTAAGAAATGGAATATTTTCATTGCTCTATTTGTTTATTGCTTTGATACTGAAACTCCATGCATTTTCCCTTTTGCTACTACAGATTTTCTGCTCAAAACTGAATGAAATCAATAAATTACCAACTAATCACAGTTTCTATGAACACTGATCTCATGTGTATGAAGTTTCTAGAATAATCCATAGGTGAGATACAAAAATACTATTAATTCCCTTATTCATTTCCTATCATTTCCTTATTATGATAAACATGGCTTTACTCTCTTTTGTATAATTTAGGATTCAGTAGAATGAATTTTTTACACGTACTGAACTAATTTTCTGCCAGAATAAAATGTTGCTTATTTATCTGGGCATTACCTTTTAATTATAAGGCCCCTCAAAAAGCTGTATTTTTTTTTTCTTTTTTGCTTTAATTTCCATTGAGAGATCATCTAAGTGCACCTCACTCAGCTCAGTGTTATGGACCACAGTATACCAGGCTACAGGGAAACAAAACTCAATAAAACATCGTTCCTACCTATGACAGTGAATTGTGTGTGTCAATCTGGTTAATCCATGTAGCAATAAACAGTTGTCTAAACATTATTCTAGCTGTTTCTGTGAGAATTTTGTGGTGGGATTAACATGTAATTTGGCGGGTTTGTATAAAGTATACTGATCAATGTGATGTGGGTAGATCTCATCCAATCTGCAAAAGGCCTTAATAGAAAACAACTCTAGTCTCCCACACCACTCCCAATAGGACTGAATTCTGCTGCTAACATTTAGATTGAAGAGCTCATTGGCTTTTCTTGGGTAATGGTCTTCAAAGAAGACTTTCTGGTTCTACAGGAGCTATGAGTCTTAGGAGTTACCGGGGCATCATCTGTGCAGATTTGGCACTTCCCAACTTCCATCATCATATGAGCCAATTTCTTAAAATAAACCTCCACAGACACATACATAAGTATCTCCCATTGGTTCTGTGTCTCTGAAGGACCCTTACTTACAGGCTCAACATCCACCTACGGAGGATATTCCCAAGTGAACTTTCTTCATGAAACCCTTCTCACACCATAACCCACAGTATATAGCACTATGAACCAAATAAACTACCAAACCAAAATACCTCTCAAGAAACATCCATGGAATGAAATAAAAGTACTTAAAAGCAAGACCTGCCAAGGACAATATCAAACTGTGTAATTCATTCCCTCAAGAATGCTCATAAAATGAGTGATATGGTGTTAGTTTATAGCTAGGCTTGCCCTTTCCTGCATACGCTGACTAGATGAGATTTCTCTCCTTTTATGAGTTAGTTACTGTTATTTGAAGCAGGTCATTGAGAAATAAATTTAGAAGAGGGAGTACAGTTATAAATTAATCCATTCCCCTCACAATGAGTAGTACAAATACAAAGCAAAGCAGCTCACTTGAATGGCAGCCAAATTCTTCTGCTCCTGAGATGGTGCCTCATGAACAAGGCGAAGCCAGTTAGAGTGCCGTGGGTTGGTAGCATCCAAAATGTACAGAACCTCTCCTTTACTCCCACGAACCTGAAACATAAAAGGCTCTTGAGTTTCCAAATCAAGAATAAATTTATTTGGCCTACCTCTTTATTCTTTCCATTGTGGCGTCATGGCAGCAATTAAGTACCTAGGGATATGAAACTTTTATTAACGCCTTGTCCCAATCTCCAACCCAATATTAAGATACCAAAATGATTTTAAAATCCTGTTTGGAGGCTGAGAAGCAAATCTAGTCAATTTGCAGGAACACGACTCCCTATATGACCATCATAAAGCTTGCTAGCATTTGAACTTGCCTTCATCATGTCCTAAAGTGTTACCGGTCTGCCCAGAGTCCTCTGTGTACAGAGCTCAGCAGCTCAGAGTGACACGTAGGACCTCAAAACTTGCTCTTGCAAATACAATGGTGAACACAAAAATCTCACAGGAGAGTTTGGAATCATAATTCTGCCTTGAATGTGGTATGGTTGAGGATGAAGTTGTGCCTCATCCTTCATCCTACAGTAGCTACCATCACCTGTCATCAAGGTGGTCTATGGGTGTGCACACTCATTCAACAGGATATCTGTTGCCTGTGGCCAAGTGAACAGGACTTTGCTCTTGTGTTCAGGTTACTCAGCAATGGGAAAGCTAAGAGATACAAGTTTTAGGGAGAAGTAAACAATTGTACAAATAGTTTTACATAGGAAAAAAGAGTTAAGTGCATTTGGAAGGAACCAGTGACAGCCTCCTTTCCTCAGCTTTCTACATGGGATTGAGAAAAGTGCAAAACCAGCACTGTGCAAGGAAAACACCCAAGTTTGGGAGTCACTGACATAGGTTGAGACCGAACAAAGTGCTTTTCTACCAGATGTAACTCAACAACTATGAAAAATCAACTCTGCACACAAGACTTTTTAAAGACACAGGAACCCATCGTTGAAGGCACACATGTCGACAGATGACCTCTCTCACCCCAAGTCAGCTTAGAATCAAGCTAACTCACTATAGACCTCCTTACCCAGGAAGAAGCAGAGAAACTTCTACCCTGATTACAAAGGGCAGTGCCCTCCCTAAATCCCTGGCCTTTGGATCTAAGATAATAAATCAGAAATAGGACTCTCACTTGAAGGAGGATTAACCATACTATCCGTATCAGGGATAAGACAAGATATTATTTTCATGAGTGTGCAACTTTTTTATTGACAGGTGTCAAAACAGATTCTAGGTGAATAAGCATTCCTTTGTCAAACAGAGATAGTAAGAGTCTATTCTCTAATTTGAAAGACATCTAGATAACTCAAACTTGCAATCAACTCTCTGAAACAACCAGGGTTGGCAGCTGTTTTCTGATAAAAATTATTTCTCTTTATAGGTAGACTTTAATAACTGTGTTGTAATCACAGTTATTCAGGGGGTGACTTTAACTGCCACCTTTCCCTTTTTCTCCACAAAAGGGGACAGTATTGCTTATTTTCCCAACGAAGGATGTGGAGCAGGTGAGATACCCCAATTTCTCCCTCCACCTGCTCACTAAGAACTACCATCTAAGAACTTGGCAGATCTAACCAGAGGAACTCTGATACTCACCCAGTGAGACATAAGTTAATATTCCTGGAGGCATATGAAAAAGTACCATTTTATCTTGCCATAGCCTGCTAGTACACTGCTGAATAAGACAGTGCGCTCTAGGATTTCTTTTTCAGCCCAGAAGCCCTTGCTGGTCAGAATTACTACATCTTCACATCAAAAGAGGGACAGCTCACTGGCTATTCTTGAAGCCAACTTCCTTGAAATCTACTTTCAAAATCCTTACATTGTTTGGTAGTTACATATAATATATATAATATTAAATATATAATATATATATCCCCTTTAACTCTTGTTTTGTTTCTACATACCCTTGGAATCCACAAGATAAGGAAAAAGAAATGAATAATTAATACTCCAAATCTTCAACACCAAGGAACACATAATAAAGCCTACAAACTCATCTTCGTAGAGTTAGGGTAAGGAAAAAGAAGCTTCTAGACTTGCAAAAATTTTATAGCATAGAAGACAACCCGTCCAACAAAACGTGTTTATGTTATGCACTTAAACCATCAGAACAATCATTCTTTCAATAATTATTGAGTTCTCAACAACTAAGGTACAGGAATCCTTTCGTAGGCTGAGGATATAGCTCACAGCACCTGCCTGACAAGTATGAGAACCTGAGTTCAATTCCCAGAATCCCCTAAAAAACCCTCAAGAACCCTTTTGTGACTAAGAACCTGATTTCATGGCTTTTAAAAGTAAAGAAACCCAAGACACAACTTCCTGTGATGAACAGGAACACCAAGAAGACAATAGAGGCAAAGGAGAAACAACAATGGGAGAAATACCCTAGGAGAAGCGGTGGTCAGATAACTCCTCTTTGATAAAGAAATCATAGAAGAGTTACAAAGGAAGAGGAAGGCCTGGGATAAGAAGTTCCAGGTCGGGAAACAGCAAGGAAAAGGCAAGTAGCAAAACCCTGAGTTTAGAAACAAATTACACTTCTAAGGAACAGTAAGAAGTCACGGGCCTGGGATAGAACGACCAACTCAGGAAGTAGTGGACATGCAGAGCACACAGATGAGCCGAGGCCACATCATGCACCAACAGACACACCAGGAAGCCCTCTACACAGTCAACTTGAGTACGTACAGTTTATTTTCACCAAAAATGTGGTTTAAAATCATCTGCTGCTTGCATTGCAAAAATTGCTATTTTAAGATTCTAACATATATTATGCAGGAAAAAATTCAGTTTGCCTGCTCCCACTATATAATGTCTTGTTCCTCAAACAATTTCTTAAATGCCCAAGGAGCTTTTATAATCCTTTAAAAATCTCTCTAATGAAATGCCATGTCCTCACTGAGAGGTGGGGATTTAATATTTAATATTATAATTGCTGACAGAGGAATTCAGGACACTAAGTATTTCAGAGTTATGTTTCATATCCTTAGGTGTGAAGCTGTGGGAATTTGTTACACTTCTCACTAAATAACAAACTCATATTAAAATCACCTTACTTCCCTGTGAATCCTTCAGTTCAGAACCTGCACTGCTCCCAGCCCAGAAATGGTGGGAGGTGGAGAAAGCACATTTGCTATCTCTCCCTCACAGAGGACCCTCTTCACATCTCCCTGAGTAGGATAAGCAAATAATTCTGAATGTTTCAGAATAAAGTCCTTCCTTTCAAGTATCTCCATAGCCACAGTAACAAACTATTTATATGGACAAAGGGCTAAAGTATGCACAGCAAGTAGCAGGGCCACTAGATTCCTGAAAGAAAAACAGTATCTCTCAAGAGAACTAAACTTGAAAACCAGGGACTGTGGTTGCAACCCAGGGATTTCCTGTGGGGACACCCCAGTGCATCTGTCAGCAGCTATCTGAGAGGAAAGCACTACTGGGACACACACTAGCTTGGTCCTTCCCAGTGAAACATTTGTTACTGGGTATTCAGCACAATATGGATCAGATGTGCCTGACATTTGCAATTCTTTCTTCAAAGATGTGAAACATAAGGCATATTTCTCTGTGACTTAATATATATATATATATATATATATATATATATATATTAAGCACAGCTGATATGTTACCAGGACTATTGTTTGTTCTCTATGTATTTCAGCTTTTTCCCAGGCCCTCTGCCTCCAACTATGTTCAATCGCTAAGAATTAGTAATTCATTTTCTTCATCAGTCCATTCAGTGGACTTTCTCACATAAGAGGGCATCTTAAAAGAAAAGCCCAATTCATAATAAATTTCTTCTGAAATGACACTTTCAGTTCAATCACACTGACTTTTACTGATTTACTCTGATATTCTTAACAGGACTATCATAGCCAGCCATGTACTATACGTTGCCTACATCCTCCTATTTGAATTATCCTTCATTCATTCACAGAGTCACCCCCTCTGATCGAAACACTCGCATCCACGTGAATTCTAAGTTTCCGGTCTTCACCTGTGGCCTGTTTTTCCAAGCGTTCAAGGGGCTGGGTTTGCACTCCACCCCCCTCGTCTCCTGTGCTTCCGTATAGTGCTTGCATTTCATTACCTGCTCCTGTGACTTTCATCCTCCTCCCCTTCCCACAGCATTCTCCTGACATGTCATCTAAGAAAGAAATCCAAAGATAATCTAAGCCATCCTTGCTCTCTCCAGCATGATCAGATCAAGAGAACTCCAGACAGATGGCTGTTATTACAGTCTCCACTTATCTGTTTTATTTTGATACTGACCCCTGAGGTAATAAACTGAACATTTTTAATAATAAAGAAGACTGAAAATTCCTTCGTACCATATTCCAGCATTTTCCTATCTATTGCAGCCAAAGAAAATGTACTTTTTGTTTCCTCTCAAAATGTGTCTTCTGAAAGTCATCATCTTCTACTTGAATATTCAGAGAAATGGAATATATTGTTACAATCCTACTTAGGATCATCTTCTACCTTCCACGTATGAAGAACTCTTAATGAAACTACCATTTTCATCATGCACTAAAAACCATTTCAATTCCAAAATCTGTTTGATTAGCATCGGTTTCCTCTGCTGGCTACATGAAAACATTAGGAAAGGGATAAAGCCTTCATATATGAGGAAACGCCCACGTGTCTCTGTAGTTGGTTCCTACCCTCTGACTCCGACACTCTGTATTAAACGAAAATTATACCCATGTGGGACCTTGGCACTTGCTATTAAATGCTGCCAGCATTGCATTTCAAGTATCCGAGACAGAAAAAGTGCTGGTCATTGCTACTGGGGTCCTGTAAGCGTCCCCAACCAAAAGCGAGCGGTAGTCAATACTATTCACACTTTTCTTCTTCCTACCCATGTCAGAACAAAGGAAACCACGAAAAGATTCAGCTCAATTAGATAAAATCCCAACTTGTGACTAAAAGAAATTCGGAAAATAGGTGCTCAGTATGAGCCTCCTAGCCCTAGATTTCAGTATTTTCTTTGTTAAATTCTGTTAACTCTAAACTAAGGAGCTGATTTTACTACTTGGATGGTC